CATGGACATGAAACTTGTTGATTTTGATGATGATTCAAGAACAATGGACTTAGAGAGTTGAAGACTTGTATTCTTGTGTAATAACTCTATTTTGATGAGTTTGAGTCTGTAATATTAGAGTCTAAGATAGTCAATACATAGTCTACTCTTTAGAAGCTTCAAAAACTCATTTTTATCAAATACTCACGGGTTTAATCGATTAAAATGTCAAATAATCGATTATTATAGAGAGAAAAACCATTTTCTGTATCAGCTCTCTGTAATAATCGATTAACAGGGCAAATAATCGATTAAAACCGTGTGTTGTGGGTTTCTGTTGATTTTGGCTCTGTAATAATCAATTAACACTTGAGATAATCGATTATTTCAGTCAGATTTGCATTTTGAACTTCAAATTGAACCTATTTTCGAAAATCCTAGTCCCAATAAACCAAGTTTCGAAAATCCCCAATTCCCAAACCCTAATTCATCTACTTAAGGTTCTCTAAGGCTCTCAGAAAATTGAACAACCTTCTTCAAACAAAAGTTGAGAGTTGTGATTGCCAGAGAACTGTTTGTTGAAGGAAAAATGGGCTTTTGGAACCTGGTGTGGGCTAGAAGCGATAAGAATCACTAAGTGGAGTTCTTAGTGGATTGTGTGTTGTGCCGTCTCTAGGGAAAGCTGTTCGTCATCTCTTGTGTGACTCAAGAGAGGTGTTTTCGTTACTCTATCTTTTCCATTGTTATCTGTTTGTAAAAACTTGATTATAGTGATAGCGTTAATCCTCTGTTTGAGTGATTAGCAACTGGACGTAGGGTCTTTTGATCCGAACCAGTATAAATCTTATGTGTAAAACTCTATCCTTATTCTATTTACGTTTACACAGTGTTTTAATCGGTAAAATTTGGGAAAAAATTTTAAAACCTAATTTTTGTTAAGAAACCAATTCACCCCCCCCCCCCACTTGGTTTTTGTCCGTTCACGCAAACATTCCGCTGCGCAATTCTAACAAGAATTAGAGATGAGTATATATAACTCTTTTTGAGAGATCATGCTTCTCTGAGGATAGTTGAGGACTAATTATTTTTTGTTGGTTTCTGTAACTTGAATGCTTATGTGTTCTATTTTCATTTGGAGTTGTGAGCATCACCTCTGAAAATTTTTATGTTGTGGTTCTGGAAGAGAAAGAGATAATAGGTGATGATTTTGTTTTGGAAAAACTACTTTGCTTTGGACAAGCAAGATTCTAGGTTGGGGGGAGTTGTTAAGTGGTAAAAAGTTGATATAATTATGCCTTGAATTGTTATGAAACCACTTAACTTATGTTAATTCTAATATATTTTTCTCCCAATATAGGATGAATTCGAGAATACCTTGATACAAGAGTAAGGAGCATAATTGTCAGCATAATTGGAGTAAAATTGAAAGAAAGAAGAGCGCTTAAGCGAATGAATGATGCGAGGCCTGACCTAAATTCTCTTATAAAAAGATAAGTTGTGTTTTGAGAAAAGCAAGCAATCTTGGAGGAGAGGAGGCACGACTACTGTTAGGGTTTTGTCTAATCTTAATCAATTCTTCACTTCTTCATCAATTGGAGCATTGTAATGACCAACATGAGTGACTAACTTCATTCTCTTGGGATTGGGTGCACTTCCTTTGAACTCTTTTGTATCATGGTGATATTTTGATATATTAATCTATGCTTTGATGTTGTTATTCTTATCCTTTATGCTTTGGAATGATTTATTCTTGATTGTTTGAGGTATGATTGGAAAATATATCTTGAACCCTAGATCACGGTAAGAATATTTGTTACGTTAATTGCCAGAAATGGAATGAATGTATCAATTGCTTAACATCCTAACCCTAATGCTGGAAAATCTGATAATTGTGTGAGGAATAAACATTTATTAGGTTTTCTTATGAATTTCATGTGTGAGGAATCAACATGGATGATTTGAGTAGGTGACATCAACATTGTTAGGTTAATTGACGTTCTTAATTGACATAATCATTACAAAAGAGGGATAAGGAAGGAAGTCAATCCTAAGTACCTTTAATTGATATTTTCTCAACAATTTACAGTTCTTTGTCATTTAATTTCAATTCAACTCTTATTTGCAAAACCCAATTTGTTTTAATCTACTTAGTAAGCATAATTGGGAATTTCCATTGAAACCGTTCCTCGTGGGATCAACTTTTATTTAATCGAAATACTATACTACGATTGATAATTTTGGTACGCTTGCCAATAATTCAACAGGTGTGGAACATGGTTTGGATCCTGTCATACCAGAATCCTTGAGGAAATCTAAACAGTATTTTCGTTGACACAAGGAGATTCCTACATCTGAATGAGCAACTTCTATACCTCGAAAATATTTCAAAAGACCAAGATCTTTTATATGAAAAATGTGAATGTAATATTTGCTTAATGTGGGCAATCTCATGCACAAAATTTCTAGTTAAAACAATGTCATCCACGTATATGATCAGAGCAGTAAAATCAGACGCATCAGATTTAATGAAAAGACTATGATCAGCATGAGCTTGTTTATATCCACAAGATAAAAGTAAGAGAGACAGCTTTTCATACCATTTCCTGCTCGCTTGTTTTAGACCGTAGAGAGATTTCTTTAATTTGCAACATTGTGAACTGCGATGACCCATGGCACCAGGAGGAATAACCATGTAGACATCTTCAGAAAGTTCACCGTGTAGGAACACATTACTGACATCAAGATGTAGAAGATGCCATCTATTGACAGAAGCCAAAGCAAGAACAAGTCGTATGGTTGCCATCTTTACAACAGGAGAGAAAGTTTCAAAATAATCGATACCTTCAATCTGTGTGAATCCCTTCGCTACAAGTCGTGCTTTGTAGCGTTCCATAGTCCCATCTAGTCGTCGTTTGATTTTGTACACCCACTTGTATCCAATCGGTTTGACATTCAGAGGAGTTTCAACAATATCCCAAGTCTTATTCAATACTAGGGCCTCTATTTCACTTTTCATAGCCTCTATTTCACTTTTCATAGCCTCCTTCCAGCAAGGTTGCTTTATGGCTTCCTGATAATTAGTGGGTTCTTGCTCAGAAGATAATGACATGAGGTAGTGACAGTGAGAAGGAGACACAAAGGTGTAGCTAAGAATGGATTCTAATGGATGTAAACACTTTGTGGATGATTGCGTTGACGTAAAATTGCAGACATAATCAGCAAGGTGAGGTGGAGTGTTATGTGGGCGAGTTGAGCGACGAAGAAGGGGTGTTGTTTGGTCCGATTCGCTGAGCTGCGACACGATTACGTTTGGGGAGGATGAACCGGATGAAAAGGAGAAGGGCAAATTGGGCTCGGACATGAGAGAAGAATTTGGGGCTGAAACACTCTCTGTAGGTGAATGTGGACTGCACAGTGTTGGTTTTGACTCTTGGGTGATAATGGGTGAGTAGGAATCAATGTCTGATGAAGACCAAGTTAGGCTAGGACGAGACAATGATGGATTAGGCTCTTTATCTGGAGCAAAAGGAAAATTCATTTCATGAAATAACACATTTCTAGAAATAAAAATTTCTTTTGTATCCAAATCCAAAATAACATATCCTTTTGTACCATTTTGAAAACCTAAGAACACACCACGTCTTGAACACGGGTCAAATTTTTTACGATGTGTGTATGTAGACGCATAACATAAACAACCGAAAATTTTGATCATGGAAAAATCTAGTTGTTGTTTGTTTAATAACTCAGGGGTTTTTATTTTGAATTACAGGAGAAGGAACACGATTAATGAGATAGACAACATGTTTGATGGCATAAGACCAAAAGTGAATTTTCAGAATGTGTTGGTGTTTTCTTTCAACTCTTGCATTTTGTTGTGGAGTGGCAACACAACTTGTTTGGTGCAAAATTCCCTTTGATGAAAAAAATCTTTTAAGAAAAATTCTGGACCATTGTCTGTTCTAATACATTTAACCTTTGTTTCAAATTGATTTTCAACGAGGGCAACAAAATTTTGAACATTCGAATGGACTTCTGTTTTTTATTTTAGTAAAACAACCCAAGTATATCAATCAACAATAGTTAGAAAATATTTGTGACCATGAATGGAAGCTTTAGAAAAGGGTCCCCATATGTCCATGTGAATTAAATCAAATATTTTGGAAGCTCTACTATTACTAGAAGAATAAGACAACTTTTTTTGTTTAGCTAAATGACAAACATCACAAGTTTCATTGAATTTTTTGGAAATAAAAGAAAATTGTTCATGTAAAACATGAAGACGTTTCCAGATAAATGTCCTAATCTAAAATGCCAAATGTTGTTCATGGTTATAGGACTAGTGGTGGAGGAGTTGACAAAGGATGGAACAGTGGGTAGGGTGGAAGGTTCCTTGCTGATTACCAAGTGGTAGAGACCTTGTTGTAGTTTAGCCAAATCAACCATCCTCAAGGAGTTCACATCCTGTATTAGGCAAGAATCATGAGAAAAAGTTAGTCTATAACAAAGACTAGAAAGCAATTTGGAAATAGACAAAAGGTTGAAATTAAATTTTGGGACATAAAGTACATTATGTATGACAAAGGAAGGAGAAAATTGTATGGTTTGAGAAAAATTTGCTGTGACAGAGTCACCATTGGGTAAATTTATTTTAATGGGTTTGATTTTGGTATAGACTTGAAATAAAGCAAGAGAAGATGCAATATGGTCTGTAGCCCCTGAATACACAATCCAGGGGGTGGAGTGTGAAGAAAATGAAACTGCATGTGTGTGAGAAAAGACGTGCGTGGTGGCACAAAAAATAAAAGGGATAGCCAAATTGGAACCAGGTGAAGGGATTGAGCTCTTTAGAGAGAGATTGACACTTTTGAGCTGGGTGTTGTCTACTGAGCTCGAACTACCAGAAGGTGGAGTGGGAAAATTTGCATTTACTCACCAATTTGTGTCGCCTTGAGTTTATAGAGACTCTATTGAGACAGGTTCCACAACATTTGGGAAAATTGAAGAATCTTAAAGTAACAATGAGTTCATTTATTGTTGGACGTAGCAGGGAGTTCCGTATTCAACAGCTACGAGAGCTCAACCTTCGTGGACGATTATCAATTACGGATCTGCAGAATATCGAGAATCCCTTGGATGCATCAGAAGCAGATTTGAAGAATAAAACACTTGAGCTACATTTGCAATGGGATTGGTGGAATAGGAACGCTATTGATTCAACAAAAGAAGGTGAGGTAATTGAGAAACTGCAACCTTCCAGACACTTACAGAAGTTGTCAATCACGAACTATGGTGGCAAACAATTTCCTAATTGGTTAGTCAATAATTCATTATTGAATATGGTGTCCTTAGTGTTGTACGGATGTAAATCGTGCCAACGATTGCCTCCCCTAGGACTTTTTGCCATTTCTCAAGTACTTGAATATTTGTCATCTTGATGGGATTGTGAGTATTGATGCAGATTTTCATGGGAACAACTCTTCTTCATTTAAATCCCTTGAGACATTGGAGTTCCGCTTTATGCAAGAATGGGAAAAATGGGAATGCCAAACTGTGACAGGTGCTTTTCCACATCTTCAACGTCTTTACATAAAAAGTTGTCCGAAGCTGAAAGGACACCTGCCAGAGCCTCTTGTTCCCTTAAAGAAAGTAGAGATTTCTGACTGTCAACAACTTGAGGCTTCCGCTCCCGGGGCTCTAGATTTACGACTACATAGTAGTGGAAAAATACAATTTGACTGGGCTACTTTGAAAGAGCTCTGGTTCGGCGGACACAACATGGAAGCATGGTTGATGGAAATGGTGGGACATATTGTCTCTGATACTTCTCTTGAAAAGTTGGAAATTTATTCTTGCTCCGATTGTCCAATCTGTAATGACTTTGGTTCTCTAAGCATCTTTCTGCTAGATTTCTTCCCAAAACTCAAGAGGCTTAATCTTAGTGACTTCCATAATCTAAAGATGATTTCACTGGGTCTCGGCGGGCTTCGTTTTCTCGAGTTTTTCTATATCGGTCGGTGCCCTCAATTTGAATCATTGCCCGAAAACATGCATATGCTGCTTCCATCTCTAACGGAGCTATACATAAGTAATTGTCCAAGACTTGAGTCGTTCCCTGGGGGAGGTTTGCCATCAAATCTAAAAGTGGTGACACTCAACAATTGCACCAGACTTATTGGGTCACTGAAAGGAGCTTTGGGAGACAATTCTTCTCTGGAATCTTTGTATATAGAAAATGTGAACGCAGAATGTTTTCCTGAAGAGGGTTTGTTGCCACTCTCTCTTACTACTCTATGCATCGCTGATTGTCCGAATCTAAAAGAACTGGATTACAAGGGTCTCTGTCAAATCTCATCTCTCAAAAAATTGCTTATTGGAAACTGCCCCAACCTCCAAAATTTCCCAGAGGAGGGTCTTCCCAAATCCATTTCACATCTTACAATCGAAGGCAATTGTCCGTTACTGAAACAGCGTTTCCAGGTGTCTGAATGCCAAGATTGGGGAAAGGTTGCTCATATTGAATCTTTCATTATACATTGATACGGATTCTGATTAATTCTGACATTGAAATTCACACACGTCGATCTAGGAGATTGTTAAATTTGTTCTGAACCTATAACATTACTTTGTTTGAGAGTAGACGAATCATTTTTGTATCATTCGAACATCGTAGGGATTTCACCATTGGAGAAACACCTTCTCTTTTGTGATTCAATGTTCACACTTCCTCTTCCTCACTTCCTCTTCACATTGCACGTTTACCTCCTTTAGCTCAACGCTGTATGAAGAAACAACGTCGTTCATCTTAAAAATTGGAACACAACGATGTCGTTTAATTAAATGGACTCTGTCGTATATTTTATTTTATAATATGAAACATTAATGACATCAGCATTTGTAATCAATTTATCGCAAATTTTTTACCAAATTTATCTTTATGTTATTTGCTCCTTAAATCCTAAATAAACAAGCAATTGATATGATAAAATTTTCAAAATTGAAAATTGAATTATAACTTTTAAAAGTATAAAAATTTAATTATAAAATATGCAATTAAGTCTTATATATTTACTGTAGTGGTGGTTGTTTAAGTTTCTATATGTGTAATTTTTATTTTAAATAATACATAAAACTGTGTATAATTTAAATAGGCAGTCACAGGTTAGTGTCAATTTCTATTATAACGGTGTCAATTTTTATTTTATTTTATCAAACTACTTTATTATTGAATTTATAAATAAATAAAATGATTAAAACAAAAATTTAACCAAAATATATTATTCTTAGTTTTTTGTTTCTAAAAGAACCGAAAGAAACAAATAGTAGATTATTCTTAGCTTCCTCCTGGTTTTTATTCCACACTTTTTCTCTTCACTTCAGTTTAAAAAAGAGCGTTGGAGTAGTTTGGCAGTAGTTCTGGGGAGTGAAAATGGCTGCTTCAGTTACAGGGATCGCGACCACGAACACGGGCGCGGGTGTGGAGTGGCATGTGCGTCCTCCAAACCCTAAGAACCCAATCGTCTTCTTCGATGTCACCATCGGCAACATTCCCGCTGGTCGAATCAAGATGGAACTCTTCGCCGATATTGCTCCCAAAATCGCCGAGAATTTCAGGTTCACTTCTCCGTTCAATTTCTTAAAGCCTTTCTTGTTTCTTGGTTAGAGTACATGTGGTGCAACCGCCAAGGGTCATGCTGATACTAGTTCATTTTGAACCTTGGCTTTGAGCATTGCTTGTTGGTTTTTAACCTGGTATCAAGTTGTAAATGAACTTCCACTAATTATAAAAAAAAAAAAAAACAGTTTTAACATGTTTTTTGTACGAGAAAATATCTCGAGTTTTGTTTATTCCTTCTAAACTTTTTGTTCGTTTTTAACGCCTCCCGACGTTTTATGCTGATAACTATTTTTCTGTTCCTTGGCTTTGAGCATTGCTTGCTACTTAACCTTGCTATCAAGCTTGTGAACAAATTTCCACGGATTGGAGAAAACAAAAATGTTTAAGTATGTCTTTGAAATACTCCCGACTTTTACTGGCCCCGTATATTTTGAAATGCTTAAACTTTGGTCCTTGTACAGGGAAAAAAGTATTAGCTTTAGATACTAAAATTTGAGTATTTGAAAAATTACAAGGACGAAAACTATTGGATTTAAAAGTCAGACTAAAATCCAAATTTGGAAAAATTTAAGAACTAAAAACAGCGCTAACCCTAAAAAGATCTATGCTGCATCTTGTGCATTCTGTTGAAATAGATAGTAACTTGTTAACCTATGTATCTACTTCCTGGTACGTCCTTTTGCCTCATAGAATGGGACAGAACAGTTATGTATGTTTAGAATTAACATTGTTGGGAAATGGTAGATGTGATTTCCGGTTTCAATATAATATTGGGTAAGTTCTATGTTGTCAGTTTTACTTCTGAAATTCCTGTAGTTTAGCTAAATTTCAAATGTCGCTAAGGATATATCAATATTGGTACTGAACAGTGGTAGAATGTAGTACAATTAGTATGTTTGATTTTTTTTTTTCTTGATATGTTTGGTATCATCTGTTTTACTTTAGAATGTAAGAAACTTGAATTTCAGCTTACATATCATTCAGCTACATGATGATCAGATTGAAAAACATGTTTTTTAATGCAATGCATGTTTGGAAGCTTGTGTGGTTTATAAAGGATTTGATTAATTCTGGAAGACTATTATTCTCACTCCTCCTTAAATTATATTTTGGACTTTTCTGTTGGTGTTTGTTTTTGCATTCAGATTCTCTTAATGACAAAATTATGTCCAGATTAATTGATGAATTTGGCTATTTTTATTTGACAGGCAGTTCTGCACTGGGGAGTACAGGTAGTGAAACAGTCTTCTCCAGTCTATCCAACAACCTATTTTGGTTTTCCATCTCTTTTCATTTTTTTTTTATTTTTTTATTTTTTGAATTTTTCATTTGGAGTCACGGTAGTTATGATGGTTTTAATCTATTATTGTACATTTATTTTAGATGCCCATGTAGTATCCTGTAATAGTTTATAGTGCTGAATTGCAATGTTAGATTCATAGCCTTAATCTGAGTTAGCAACACTTTCTTCTCATTTCCTGCTTTCAAAGTCTGAAAGTTGAATGTGGACCAGTGCTAGGATGTTTAGTGTTGCTTTCTTGGCTATCAGCCTTTGTTTTCATGATGGTCATATGATGAATTGATAATGATAGTATTTCTGAGTCAAATTTTGGCATGGTGTGATAAGGTTGTTGTCTTGTGACCCAAAGGTCATGGTTTTGAATTTTGGAAACTGTCTACCCACTTGTTGGGATAAGGGTGCGGACATCTATTTTTGTGAAAGGAGGGGATTGTTGTTAAAATCGTTTTTCTACTCATATAAATACAAATCTGTGTATATGGAAGGCTGAAGTGATCCCAATTCTATCCCCAAACGCTGGAATGCCATCCCATTTCTTAGAACCTGTGGAATTGTCAGATCCTGCTGTTTCTTACCATATTCACCAAATGTATAGGGTGAGCAGAACCAAACCAAAATATCAACCTGAAACTAACCCAGCCAGAAATCGTTGCTGCTATGATCGTGGTGTGACTGAAATCTGCAATTAAAATGTGAAAGTACTCCATCTCCTTGCTGCAACTGAAATCTGCAATTACTTCTGCCTCCTTGCACCTGTAATAACCTTTTGGATTGGGCTGAGGGGTGTTGAATTATTTGAGTTCACTCTCCCTCCCGATTTGTTTTCTTATTGATTGTCAAATGGATCAGTATGTTTGCCTTTTTGGTTGGTGGTTTAAGTTAACTATTACTTTTTATGATCTGATTTTATTGGCAGAAAAGCAGGACTACCAGTTGGTTACAAGGGTTGTCAATTTCATAGAGTGATTAAGGATTTTATGATTCAGGCTGGTGATTTTGTAAAGGTACTGCTCTGGCCTGGTTTATCTGTCTTTATCTGTTTTATATCTACTATGCGAGAGCAGAGGTGTTTGTGTCAACATTCATGAAAATAAAACATGTTGACCCATATGCATTGTTTCATCTGGTTGTACACATATATCATGATAGTTAGCTTAGTTATAAAATCCATGTTTCTTCCCCACCATTTCATAGAAACTATCTTACACATCGTGATTAATCCCTAATATCTGTGTGGAAAGGTTGACTGCAAAACTGTTATAATAGGTTAGCATGATGGATGCTATTTTGAAGATTTTAAATACAAATCTTTTAAAAAATTATACTCCATGCATAGAAATGCTCAAAAAAGAAAAAAACCCGAAACTTATGACATTAATAATTTGGCTAAATCATAAATGAAAGTGTGAGCAACTCCGTATAACAGAGGCAGACCATAAGCAAGAACTATGTGAGACAAAAGGTACGTGCTTGAAAACTGAGTTGCACTATGCAGGAGTTGTTATAACTTGTTGAGTTTTCTATTTACAGTTCTCAAAACAAACTTCAAGGACTAAGAGCCAATGTTGCGTAGTTAGGCTCTCTTCTGGAGCTATCTTGTGATCTTGCAAGCTCTTTTATTTGGAATCCTACCAAAAAAAATACACAATTTACAACTTCAAAGTTCCTCTTTTTAACTCCTACTTCTTAAAACAAGAGTTCATATTGTGGAATGTCATGAACCAACTCCTCCCATATTTCAGAAGTGCTTCCGATCTCATTGTGGTCCATTTTTCCTCTAAAACTCCCTTGTACCAAAGTTTAATTCCTCTTTTATATAGCTCTTAAACCTGATTAATATGTTGAAGACATGATGTTGATCCTTCTCCAAATCATGGTGTTCACCTCCAAAAGCTTAGTTATCAAATTACCAATATTCCAATTACAAAACCTAGTCTAACACTTCTGGACACGCTTGGGTTTAAATTCAATTGTTGTTTGTGCATAGTTACCTGATATGTAAAATCTAAGTTAGTATTGCTTTTTGTATTTTGTTAGTACTGCTGTTCATGTGTATGCATTGATTGATCTATCTACGAATTTATCTGAATGCAGTTTTTCCCTCCATTTTAATTTATGAGATTTGTATGGCTAGGATAAATGTTGTCAGTAGCAACAATAGAATTAATCCTGGTTTTGTTCAAATCCTTACTATAATATATTCTTCCTTGGCAGGGTGATGGTAGTGGATGTGTTTCAATCTATGGGCTTAAGTTTGATGATGAAAACTTTACTGCCAAACACACTGGCCCTGGCCTTCTGTCGATGGTATGTGATTGTTCTACCTTCTGTCATTTTGATTTATATGACAATAGAGACTGTTGATGAAGTCACCACACATGGATAAATATGTACAATATGCTATTATTTACTGTGATATGTTTATCAATTCCTGAAATAACTACTTAACTGGAGCACTGATGACAGTACTCACACAAATCTACAGGACAGTTCCTAACAGGTTAACCTACAAAGGTTTTATTTCCTGCACACTGGAATCATACATTGGTTATCAATTCATGAAATAGCTCCTTAACTGAAGAACTAATTGACAATGCTTATATATGCAAAACTACATTATATTTCCTAACAGGTTAACTTATAACTGTCTTACATCCTGAACACTTTGGCATCATATTGAATTTTTTTGCTAACTGCAACTAGTTATGGAATCAATTGATTCAATATTTGTCTAAATTATGCTTTCACTTGTTATAATGTAAAGAAAGATTAAGTCCAATTTGTCTAATCTGCAGGCAAATAGTGGACCAAATACCAATGGTTGTCAGGTAACTTTCCTATGTTCATTCTCTTTTCCTTTCCCTTTTCTCAGTGGCAAAGTTAAATTGATCATGCTGTATTTCTACTGATAAATCTTCTCTTGCTTGCAGTTTTTTATAACATGCGCAAAATGTGACTGGCTTGACAACAAGCATGTCGTTTTTGGGGTATGCTTCAATACCTTCTGTTGCATATATTAATTATTCTTCAAACAGCCAGAATCTGAATTTAGTTGTTCCTCAAGTTTTATGTCTTCATGTTCAAATTAAGATGCCAGATATTTTGGTGATAAAGATTGCAAGATTTTATCAAATCTGTAAACATAGAATGATACCTTAACCTTAAGCCTGAGAGCTGAACAAATCCAAGCCACTTTCAAATGTAAGCTACGCAAAAAGTGAAGTTTTTTAAGGCATGCACAGATTGCTGATTGCTCATTGTTTCAAAAGAATTTTAACCTGCCTCAAAAATTCGTATGGTTATCTATGTGCCTTATTTGAAAATGTTACTAGCATCATCCTTCTCCCAAACTTTTGATGTGTTGTGCATTTACAACCTGGCTTCCCTCTATGCAGAGAGTGCTTGGAGATGGCCTTTTGGTTGTGAGGAAGATCGAGAACGTGGCAACCGGACCCAATAACCGACCAAAATTAGCTTGTGTCATTGTAGGATGTGGTGAAATGTAAATTTTAATGCAATTTCGCTAACAAACAATTGATTGAATCCTCTACAGCAACTTCACACACTATACAGATGTGGACTTTCTACACTACTAGATGTATTTCTGTGGCACTTTGAAGCTAAACATTCTTGTCATGAGAATTTTTTTTTATGTAAGAGATCTTTAATACATTTTGTATTTTTTATTTAAATTTTTAGAATTATATTTATTATACAATTTTAACAATACAACTCCTATAGCCTATTTTATATAGATTTTTTTTTTGTTTAACAAATAAACCACCAGAATTATAAGTTTATAAATACACAAGTAATTTTTTAATCGTTTTGTTTCGGAATATAAATTCTAGAAATTTAATTACATAATAAACGAATAAACATTCAGAAATTTAGTTTCGATTTTTTTGTGATTATGCAATAATGAATAACCGATAAGAAATATTAGCACCTTATAGTAAAGATTTTACTACAGATCTTACTATTTAATTATTATTACTTTGTGATTTTTTTATTTAAGTTTTTATTACATTTTACCATTAAACTTGTATTTTTTTTTCATTTTATTGATATGTTAAATTTTAATAGAACAATGATGAAAAAAATTTAAAAATACAAAGATGTAAAAAAAAAAAATTCTCTTACAAAATTTGGTAACAGAACAACTTTGTTTTAAATTTGTGAAGTGATGACAGTTGAATATAAATTATAGAATGAAAAAGAACATTGGTGTACATAGTAATCCTCCAACTGGGGTGGTGTACATGCATACGCATAAAGCCCAAATTCAAAAGTGGAGCGCGTGCCCGTCACGTGTGTCTCACACGCTCTTTCTTCCATTTCTCTCGTCCCAATACACCAGTTGTACTCTAGGGAAGAATAGAAGCAAGAAGACACGAAAGCGAGCGAGCGAGTTGTGACTCTGCAAGTTTCGAGTTACGAGTTAGGAATGGCGAACGCGCTTCGGAACGTGAAGGTACTTCCGAACTCGGCCAGTTTGGAGGAGGCGCGTCAGCGCGTGTTCGATTTTTTCAGAGCAGCGTCCAGATCGTTACCCGCCGTTATGGAAATCTACAACCTATACGACGTCACTTCCATCGCCCAGCTCCGTTCCACTGTCGCCTCCGAGATCCGCAAGAACATCCACGTCACCGATCCCAAAGTATTTTTCATTTTTCTCAATATTTTTTTATACTTTTTAAATTTTGGTTTGGAACATTTTCTAATCTTCTTATTGAGAGATTCAATCGATTCCGGTGTAAGCCAGTGTTTGAATATTATTGTTTGCTTATTCATTCACCGACACTTTCAGTGTTAGAGGATAATGGATTTGATTCTGTTCAGTTCTCTTACAAGTACATCCCAGGAAATTAGGGTTGTTTTCATTCTCGCTGTGTAATTACAAAAATTATTTGCAAAATCTGTAAAGGAATTGATGAAAATACCAAACTATGTGAAAATTTGAGAAAACCGAAATTAGGGCGTTTACGAAAATGTCACGTTGTTTTGAATTTGTTTTCTGTACAAATATGTAAAAGGAGGAAACAGATTGAAAACAAGTGGCATTTTTTGTAATTACTAAGTGAAAACATAAATTTAAGTACGAATAAAGGTCCTCTTATAGGTGTTATTTCTTGTTAGATAATATTGATGTTCACTGATATTAAGTTTGGGATGTTATGAAATTTCATATTGTGTGGGTGGAAGCATTGAAATTGTTGATTCGTAGCCTCCTCTTTTGGTGCAAATGTTCTTTTGAACATTTTAAGTTAAGTGGAGGTTGAATTCTTGGGAATTTGACTCGAGATTTTATTCATGGTATGTTGTGAAAATTCACTAGGGTGTCTGGTTGTTGCATTCAAATTGGATTTAGAGTCAGCTTGCTTGGTTAAATAAAGTCTAGGAATTCTATAAGATAGAGTTTTATTGAGTCATTTGAATGGATATTCGATAATTTATGGTATAATAAAGGTTGCATTTCTTTGGTCTGATGTCTTATCAAATTTCAATTTTGGAGGTTATAGTATTGAATTTATACATGGCATGATGGAAGCAGTGAAAAAAGTAGGATATGTCTTGCTCAGATGTGGTTTAATTAAGGGTCCAAATTGGGTTTCCTAGTTGACAACCTTTAGTGAGTAAGTTGATTGATTCGACTATACTCGGATGTTCTTTGTTGGCAACCTGTGAATGGTGTTTTGGTTGTCGGAAAATAATAATTTATTATTAACTTAGTTATCTTTCATTTCGTGTCATGCTTAATATTGTTATACTTTTACAAATTGGATTTTTTTTTTGTATAACACCATGTATCTTTTTTAAATATTCTATGCCTACTCTGTAACGTCTTAGTTACTGTCGGATTCCTCTTTGATCCTTTATGTATGATGAAACTTTCAGGTATGAACTTGTTATTTTTCCTGTACTTTGGGGTCAGTGACTCCCCTTCAATGCAAAAAACTTATATTCTACTTGCACAGATAGTTTTTATTCGAATTCAGTACCTCACAGATGCAATGCATCGAAGCTTTTATGAAACATTACTAACATTTGTTGACATTCAGGTGATCGATATGCTGCTTTTCAAAGGGATGGAAGAGCTGAAGAACGTTGTGAACCATTCAAAGCAGAGGCATCATATCATTGGTCAGTACGTAGTTGGTCAGCAAGGGCAAGTGCAGGATTCAGCATCAAAAGACCAGGGCATCTCTCCCTTTCTGAAGAATTTCTACAGCAGCAATTACTTTTGAAACTTGATCACCGGCTGTTCTGTTTCCTTAAATAAAGAATTATCTTAAAATGGTTTTTGTATGTCAATACTGGATGAGATAATGCTTTTGGTTTCGGATCAAACTACTGCATTCATTCTTCCTGGCTTAAGTTTAGAAAGTGGTGTTTTGCTGATTGTTGTGCATGTTTGCACACTGCTGAAAATATTATGGCGTATAACTATCGTCATTGCAGATGAATACATTGGGTAGCATGTTAGAGAAATAATATTGTATTTTTGTTAATAATTCCTTGATAATGATTTTTTATGGAGAATCCTATCATTGCATTTCCATTAATTGTCTTTTGCTGTTGGTTTGGTGTTGCAGAAATAGCAAAGAATTAGGGGAAAGAATAAATAGATGTGAAATAAAAACGAATGATCATTTAGCTGTCTAAAAACAGATGGGTAAGGAAGGGTTCTTTTTTTCCTTAAGAATTGAACAAACGAATTAACATATCTTCACTTTTTGAATTTTTTTTACTAAAATGCTATTACACAATAAATGTGAATGTTGACGTGGTTAATCAGCTAATATGCATATTGCAATGTCTTTTAAACAGTTTTATTGAAACAAAGTCTCACTCTTTCCATAAACATATTATTTCGATAAGAACGAAAAAGTAATTAATATGAAAATATATATTAAGAAAAAAAGTAATATTTTGTTTAAAGGTAAAAACTTAACTCATTTTGGAAAATTTTCATATTATTAAAACTAAAGTTATTTTGGAGCACCTTCAAACAATTCATGGGGACTTATAAGTTAGTGGAGGAATAAATATTTACGTTATAAGTAAAAGTATGGTCACTATAATCTTCCATAGTTATACAGATAATTTTGGTAACACTCATATCAAGTGTATTATGATAAGTTATTCATACATTGTCATTCTCTAATTTGTAAGCCATCGTTTATCTTTTCAAAATCCCAAGCCCTCTTTTATTTCTCTAGCGTCCTATCGTCTATAGTGGAGTTTTTTTTTTTTTTTTAATAAAAGAATATGAATACCCCTATTTTTCATTTACCAAGTTAAGGAAATTCATGATCTACCTATTTTACGACCAAATCCCACATGATTAAAATATTCGTCAAAAATCGAAAAATATGTGATTGTGTTATTTACCATTACATTGGTCAACACTACTCTTCATCTTTAGTACACTAACAAATTAACCTTTGATTTCTTATAATCCGCGTTCATCTTGAAAACATGACAACCCATTTTAACCAATAATACTTCTCATACTTCATTCTTATGAATTCTTCTTCATATCTTCTAGTTAAAGGAGGTGTAAACTAAGATTGTTAGTATGTAAGCATTGCAATGAACTAAAATACCTAAACCTGAAACAAGGTAGAAGAAATCCCACAGAAAAATATTTGAGCCCATCCATCTAAGAATATGTTTGTATCTATGTAATGTGTTGTAACAACGTCTAATCTAAGTACTTCTCATATTTTACCATCCCCACTATGCATTCCCTTGATCACAAAAGTTAAATTATTGATGACAACAGAAGATGCAGTGAAGGGGGTAACAGTGAATAAGCAGATACTTGCTAGGCCAGTGAAAAGAAAAATGTCACATTGAGAGATAAATAAAAGAATAAAATCTAACCAATTTGTATGACTTTAGATCCACGGAAAAACTATGATAACTGAAACAACCCTTCAAATATATCATAGCCAACTATATTTGTATGGAAGAAATAAGGCCATTCAACAATTTAAATGGTGAATATTATTAGTAGACAACAGGCATACTTCTTGTCACCAATTTCGTTTCTAGACTGTGACTCAATAAAGCACTAACATCAGTGATACAAATACTACAATACAACACAAGTAAACTTGTCAAGAGTAAAACCTATGATGACCAAGTATTTGATGGATCCATGAAAACTAATTTAGCATACTATTTACCACGCCCATCAATCTCTTGGGCGAGCCAGCCAGAGTGAACTGAGAGCACGCAGTCGCGAAAAATAGTCATGAATAGCAAGGAGGGCTCGAGCTGATTGGCGAGTTGTCAGTATGCGGTGCATTTGTTGTAGAGTCTGCTGACGAAGATTATCAGCCTTATAATCATGAACACCACGAAAAGAGTCCTATGTTAGACATTTTAATAGCACCATTTGTTGAAAATAGTAAGACATGAAATGTTTGTTTACAAGAGCATGTTCTTGGGGTTGGTTTAGGGGTGATGCGACAACACATGAGTAACCTTAATGGAACCAAAATGAGTTGGTCTAGGTAAGCAAATGATTCTTGCTTCAGCGGTTGTGAAGCTAAATTTCCATGAGTTCAGACAAAAGCAACAATCAGTACTACACATGTCAAATCTAGTTTTATATGAGATCAAAATTCTAGCAGTGATTCTGTTTTGACATTTTTTTTTTTTAAATAAAATTATTATAACGTTGTATCTCATCTGTAAACATGTTAATCATCCTTCTTCTATGGAATAATATTATTATAACAAAAATAATGTTAATTACATTTCAAGAACAATCAACATTACAAGAGACAGGTTTTTTTTCGGTTGGAGCAAAATGTTAATAGTCAATTTTAACTAAATTAGGAAATCAATAGTGCAATAAAAGAGTTTTCAATTATTTCACCAAAACCATACCATTGTGCCAAGTATTTTCATAAAAGCACAAGAAGAATGTACCTGTCGAATGAAACCTTCAAGCGTCCCTAGCTTACCCATGGCCATGGCCATTTGACCCATGTAATTTGCCACATTCCCTGATGAACCAGACGAGGCAGGTGCTCCGGTGGACAAGGTCTCGGCAAGGGACTGTTGCAATGCTTCCATGCCTTGAGACAATGCATCTTCTGCTTGTTGGGAAGATTGCTGCAAGTTGGTGATACCCATCAGTTGCTGCTCTGTGAGAGGTTCCAATTGATTTGCCAGCAGCTGCAACACAACCAAATTTGCAGGACTCAAGTCAAATGTAAGGAAACCATAAAATGATTACAAACATCAGAAATAAAAACTAAGCTGTCACAATTATGAGAAACTTGTATATAGAACTAGGGTGAGGAGAACAAGCACAGTACTGATAACGCAAGAGCATATTAGCTATGCATGTTCATTGAACGAGGGTGAGAGAAAGGAATGACAGATTCTAAGGACAAAAAGAATCTAGGCATATTGTATTTTCTACAACCTAATCCTAATCATTTGTGTGGGGTAATCAGTAAAACTAACTTTACCCTTGATTAAGAGAAAAATCAAAACCACAGACTTCATGTGAAATCAATAGCGGCATTCCCACATCCTACCAGTAAGTCACACAAACAAGCACTATGTAATACCCATCATATTCTCTTAGATTCTTGACCCGATAGTGCATTACACAACAGCAACTAGAAATATTGATTCAACAAACTGACCTAGCATGTGAATGTCATTACCTCTTTTACACAATATTCTGCATCTAACCAATCCCAAAATCCTACAAGAGAATTTTACTCTATGTTGCAGCCATGAGAACCAGAAAGAAAAGAATAAGCATAACCTCACCTTGAGGAGTTCAGATGACCGAAAACCACCAAGCCACAAAAAACACCTCTCAGCAGGCGTTTTCCACATACCAGACAACAAATGGAAAACATCAGCCTTAGCTGCAACACCTTTCAGCCTAAAAATCTCATCATAATGTGCCAATATACCATCAACAATCATGCGAAGTTCAGTGTCACTTGCATGAGAATTTACAGCCGCTCTTAGCTCATTTATTTGTCGATTCTGCTCTTCCAGCCACCTTGCATACTCTGCATCAAATTGCATTGCCCCTGGGAAACGATGCAATGATGGTTATGGTATGGATAACCTAACATAACCATGGGTAACTTAAATTTTTACTGAAATATGTACTTAAAACACAACAGACACCGATTATACTACTAAGTTTTAGACATATCTTTATATTCAAACAATAGCAATGAGTAACTTATTTTAGATGTGAGATACCATTTCCACTCAATGTATGTGCTTGATCACCCGAGCTTGATATGAAGATTCCCTGCAGAGGGAAAAACAAGAGATTTTTTTGTTTAAAATAAAACATGATTGCCAAAAAATGGTGGCATACAACAAGCAAGAGGATAAAGAAGGAAAGCAGGCAATTAGGCCCAATTTAACTGTGAGGATTAACTAAACCTCACCTGCTGCCTAGCTCGCTGCAGCTCTTGCTCTAGTTGGGTCAGCTTCAAACGACTACTTTCTAACTGCTGCACATAGGCCTATGTAACGAAGCCACAAAAGTATGAGGAAAATGAGCTTAAGCCTCATGGTTTTTTGCCTTGCATTTGAATAAAAAGTATGCATGTAAACATAATTATTTCTTAGAACTACCATAGAGGCCAAAGGAGTGGAAACATTTTAAACAAACCATTGAATCAACTATAAAGCAATTTATCCTGACAGAAAACACAAGTAAAACAATTTTCTAGAAGCAAAATACTGAACAAGAAAATAATGCATCAATTTCCAATTCTTTTTTGCTATGAAGCACATTCTTTAGATTAAAAAAATGAACAGTAAACAAATAATGAAGGAACTTGGCATTTGACACATTGAGCTCCAAAAACATACACACAGGACTAGTAGATATTGTTACACTAGAGCAAGGTATCCGGAATCCTGGCTACAATGTAGAGTATTTTCATATTCTTTGTTGTATCTAGCATCTTATCATCCCTTTTTATACAAAATATGTAGGGAATATTCCTTTATTATTTTTTATTTAAATTAGATATTAAGAGATTTTTATTTATGGTTTAGAATAAGAGAAGGAGATATTGGATTTATTCTGATTTAGATAATTATGATCGGAATATTGTTAATATTTGGTATTTTATCCTATTTTTACTCTATATAGTACATTAATAAAAGATAGCCCATATGAGACATATTTTATATATCAGAAATACACATACACAAAAACCCTACAAATTCTCATCAGTGGTATCAAGAACTTTGATTCTTACTGGAAAAATAGAAGAAAGAAGTTTTTCACAAGTCGTTATTCCAATTTTGGATGACGAATGTTACGACTTATGAGTTATGAGAATGCAACCCTGCCTTATGGGAAGCTATGGAAAAAGATTATATCATTGATCCACTGCCTGAAAATCCCATCATAGCCTGAGAAAGAAAAACGAGGAAGACAAAAGTTAAATCATACTTGTTTGTTGGTATTTCGTAAATGATTCTCACTAAAATTATGACCCTAAAGTCACCCAAAAAAATCCGAAAGAAAATGAAGGGAACGAGAAGATTTGAAGTATGAAAATCCTAAACTTAATACGGGAATTTAAGATACAAAAATGCAAGAGTATGAGATAATTAAGGAATAGTCCACCAAATTGTTGGGTATTGCTAAGGATTTTCATGAATCTAAAATAATTGAGAAAATTCTGATAATTATGCCAAAGAGATATAAAGTGTATATTGCTTCATTGGAAGACACAAAGGATTGATCTAATATTACTTTGACAGAAATATTAGATGCTTTACAAGTACAAAATAAGTGTTAGTGGAGACCCGATGTAAAATGTCACAAATGTGGTTAATTGGGACATATAGAAAAGATATGTTATCACAAACAAAAGTTGTCAAGGTTATAGAAGATCGAGTAAGAGGAGAACTTCTCCTTGCAACAACATACTCTACAATCAATAAATCTACAGGTTGGTTTATAGATAGTGGTTGTACAAACCACATGACTCATGATTGAGAATTTTTCAAAAAGCTCAACGAATCACTTATTTCTAAAGTAAGAATTGGTAATGGAGAACAGATGGATGTAAAAGGTATAAGAATAATTGCAGTTAAAAGTCATTCGGATGTCAAATTAATTTTTGATGTTTTATATGTTTTGGATATTAACCAAAATTTATTAGATGTTGCTCAATTATTTGAGAAAAGTTATAAGATGTCTTTTGAACACAAACTTTGTGTGATTAAATATACAAATAATTTTGAAATATTCAAAGTTCACATAAAAGGAAAAAGGTTTACTTTAGATTTAATGGAAGAGGAGTTGCCTACAAAAAAAAAAAAGATAAAAGAAAAGTCAAAGGAAAAACAGAATGGATATTTCTTGAAGAAACTCGATATCAAAGAAGAGAATAAATATATGTCCATCAAAGGTTCAACGGTACTATCATAAAGTTTGAAAGAAACAAAAGAAGATGAAGTTAATAAAAGAAGAAATATATTGATGAAAAAAGTGAAATTGAATAAAGATGTGACTACATACAAGAAGGAGGATGACAAAAAGTACAAAAAAAAAAGGAGGAAAATTTCAAACAAAAAGGAAGAATATCAAAATCAAATAAACAAATATTAAAGAAAGGAAGGAAGAATGTTAGGAATATTTCTTTATTATCTTTAATTTAAATTAGGTATTAAGAGATTTTTATTTATGCTTTAGAACAAGAGAAGAAGACATTAAGTTTATTTTAATTTAAGTAATTATGATTAAGATATTGTTAATATTTGATATTTTGTCATATTTTTACTCTATGTGTTGCATATATAGATAGAGTATATAAATAAAAGATATGTTCATATAATACATATTCCATATATTAGAGATACACATACACAAAAATCCTAAAAATTCCCATCAATATCACACATAGAACCGACGCAAGGCTTGCATGATCACGCAGACCCAAATGATCTGTATATCCAAATTATTCAAATAAATATAGTTGATACACTATATTATTTGTTATTATTTCAATTAGTAAGATTGCAAATTTTAGAGATGTGAATATAAGTGTTATAATAAATTATTTAATTGTAATATTATTAATTATTTTTAAAGTGTTACAACAATTGGGCTAAGAGGCCTGATTAATTATTTTGCATTTATTTTGGATTTTACCTCTCTTCTCCCTAAAAAGGATTATTTAAATTAAGGTACATTCTTCCTGCACCTCATTTTCTCTCTGCATCCTCCATATAAGACAATAATACTCTTGTTAAAGCATATTCTAGATTGAAAACCCCGAAAAATTTCCAGATGAATAAATCCGAAAATATATAATTTAAGTTTTGAATTAAGAAATCCATAATATAATGTTTTCATTCCGGAAAGATTGATTCGGAAGATTTCCGAAGCTAAATCCATAAATGATTAATGTATGATTTAAGTTCCGAAAGAGTGAATCCGGAACCTATTTAACATTAAGGGCAATATTGTCTTTTTAGATGAATATGGGATTCAGGATGAAGATATGGAGGTGCCTAAATTAATATGAAGTTTAAATTTAATCAATGAATCTAATATTGAAATGTAAAAGAGATATTTTGATAAATAAAATTTATAATAAAATTACACATTTAAATAAGATTCTTTTATATTCATATTAGATTAATTGACATCCATCTAAGTGAAAACAAGTTCGAATAATATGAAATCACTTCTTATTTTTTTATTTGAATTTTATTAGAATATAATACACTAAAGATCTTATTTATAATATAAAAATGAGAGGCATTCCTCACCTTCTGAACAGCTCTTCAAAGTTATGTTGGACTCAAATCCACTTTCTAAGAAATATGAGGATCATATAAACGAAAATTGGCCATTCACTATCTATTATTTCTTATTTGCACAACTTCAAATTTAGATGACAACAATATTAATATGGGGAAACAAGAAAATATACACATTTATGTGAATATATATATTTCCAAAAAACATAAGTAAATAAGATCCATACTTTCTTTCTCAAACGGCTTTTTCTTGCAGCTTCACGGTTTTGAGCAAGCCTGCGCAGAGTCTACAGTAGTATTTTTAATCAATCAGCATCATGTAACAAATACCATAATGAATTCTAGATACTTTCCATATAATAAAATTTATAATAAATTTAACCTTCTGATCTGATTTATCTTTCGACCTGTCACTAGAGTCAGAAACAATAGCAAGGGATCGATTTCTATCAAACTGCAAATACAACGTCCATCAAATGTTAGATTATCAAGAATATCTACTAACAAAGTTTCTGTGATGATTTAAGGAACAGAGTTAAAAAGACTTATGCTCAAACATTTTATATGAACACTTTTTAGATTAAATTCAATCATGCACTTGGGCACTTGTTGAAAAGTTCATCCTGAACTGGTTGAAAATATAGGTTAGGTACTTAAGATAGCATCAGTTGAACAATAAGGGGAAAACAGCATAAAAGGTAAAGAAACATCACCGGCTGATTCTTGTCATCAGTATCAACATCTGTAGAAATATCAGTCCTAGGACTGCCTTCAGCCATGGGAGACTCCTCCTGGTTATCTGTATTACCAACTAATATGGTGCCAGGATTTGATGATTGAACCTTCTGTAATTGCAACCTATGCGGCTCTGTTTGATTCGTCAATGGGCTTTTATCAAGTGAAGTTGGCAACTACATTAAAGAGAAAATACAAAGAAGTTGAAAATAAGCCATACTATCAAGCTAAAATTTCACCTTATTTACCAAAGCAGAAAATTCATTGCATGAAAAGAACTAGAAAAACTCACCTGACCAAGGCTACTAATGTGATCAGAATCCGGAGAAATTGTTTGGCTACTTACTTTTAGTGAGTTGTAAATTGGGTCTGAATCAAAGATTAGAAAAAATCATTAGCAAAGGTAAGCCTATGAAAAAACCATGTTTGTATCAAAAATAAAAAACAAATAACCAGGTTACAAACATTGATTTCTAGGTGTTTAGCAAAAATTAACATCTGAGCTTGCATGTGTCATGGAGTGAGATTTTCCTTTTAGTTAATGTTATCGTGTGCCAAGTAGGCTAATTGACCTCCCAACATATTAATCTAATCATAAGATTGTCCACACCAGATCCCCACCCCCTCCCCCTCCCAAAATCCTCTGACTGCTGTTCATGCCATCACTGGAGGTAATTTCTTACAGTCATGATCAGTATTTTTTATTTTCACGAGACTCCTCTCCCCAAATTTAATGTTTCTAATCTTCTCTTCGAACCTCACCCTCTTCTTCGAATTCATCACCTCACTCCCCTCAAACCCCAACCCCACCCTCATCATCCTCTACACCCACATCTCCTTAAACCAAATCTCTCCTTTTGACAGCATAAATCTCCCTGCAAGCCCACCCCATGGTCCCACACCATGGAGGGGTGTTGGATACTAGTTCTTGCTCTTGGATTTTGGAACCCATCCAATAAGGCCCACAATAACATCGTGAGGTCAAAGGGATCCTAGTTCTTGCTCTTAGATTTTGGAACCCTACTTAAGATGGCCTTAGAAACCTTCCTAACATTCTTAAACATATCATCACGAATAAGGTTAGAACTACCTCGTGAGTTTCAAACATTTTCCTCCAATAATATCCTCTTAAAATTCAAATATATACCACCCTTAAACTGTCACTGCTTGTTTCTTGGATTTATAACTTCCTGGGCGCTTATGTTGTGTGATAAGACTCTCTTGCAATCACCACGTAATTCTTAAACCTACAAATCAGAGCTCCCTACCAAAAAGAAAACAATTTACAACCTCATGATATATGAAAGGAGCAAACCTTGCATAAAGGCACAATTCCATTTTTTTAGAAATAATAATCAAACACTAGACACATAAAACAAGTACAAGGTCTTATAAAGATTATTTGATGCTACTTCACATGAGACAATACAACATATTGACAAATACATGTAAACTTTGTAACGTTGGATTGCAAAAACCTTACTTCCACTAAGGTCAACAGCATCCTCTACGCGATATGACTGATCAAATGCTCCAAAGTCAGAAACACGAAAAGAATCAATTGTGCTCCCCTCTGCATAACTGAATACCATGCTTTATCAGAACTAAGCTAAAACATGCAGTCTTTATGTTTCACTCTAGGGAAAAATCACATAAAACAGAAGTCATCTGCAAGTAGAACACAGAATCCGGTTTCCAAATTATTGTCAAATCCATGATTTTCTTTCTAAAATGTATATTCTATTCTCACTGGACAAAACCCCAAATTTCCAGTAAAAGGAGAAACTTAGGAGCAGCTTACTGAAAATGGAAGGGGAAACAAAAGTGAACTAGAAGATCCTTGACAATGGCACACAGAACAAATTGTAAAAAGAAGTTAAATAATTATGATTCTTAAATCATAACATGATGCAATAACTTAATTAAGAATATTCTACGTCATTCTATCAGTTTTAACACAACAAAGAAAATAAAAAAGAAATCCATTATTTTTTTGCAATCACTCAAATTCTTTTCTTTAATGCTGTCACACCACACAAGTGACACAACATACCTAATGCAAAAAAACAAAAAGAGATTGGCCTCTTCTATTCTATATCATTACACAATCCTAAATCAAAACTGAATACACTAATTTTAGATTCCTTAAACTTTTTGAGAGATATACCTAAAATATTCCGATTTGTTTACCTTAAAAGGATACTAACAATGTTTCTCTTCACCTGCGCACTACACATCAAAAGAGAGAACAAATCACCAACCTCTCAGCCTGGAAGAGTAAAATACCAGGCTTATATTTGGCTCAAAAACCAACAAATGCGCCTCGCTACCTCAACAGAATATGTCTAATTAAACTGGTAAATTTAATTTCCTACAGCACAAAAACCTATTCTGACAATCTTACAACTAGCTCAAGTTAATTAACAAAAAAAAAAACACTGTATACTTTCTAGTAGGTTTAATTTCTCTCCCAGACCCCCAACCCCATAGTTATCAATTTCAAATAGCAGCAGGTAGCGAATAACTCTTGAAACAACATAGTGGGATATCGAGAACTGAAAGGAGCACTGTTTTAAATGTTATAATACAACTAAATACTATATACTACACATGTAAATACTCAAAAACTACCCCAAATTTAAGAAATTCATGATAAATTATAAATCACAGTTTACACGCACAGTTACCAACATAGGAGCAATAAGAACATAGTAATGAAGTAAAAAAAAATGAAAGACAATGATGAAATTAATAGAAAAATAACATATCAATAAAAGTTTGCAAAATGTGAACTGGGAAGTCTGAAGGAAGAAGAAAAAACAAAACGTGTGAAAAAATAGTCTCATAAAGTGCAAAGGAGCAGAGGTTAAAACAGAGGTGACTTTTTATGGAAATTTTACACAAACAGCAGTGCTCTACTTCTACATGTAAAAATGGGTTATTGAAGGCTATATTCCTATATCATGGTGGCACTATAGCCCACAAAAGTTCACCATCGTGGCTTCTATTGAAAGTCACTTTGCTATTTAACTCCCATAACAGGCAATGGTCATTCCACTCCGTTTTTTCAATGCCATAATAGTGCAGGGTCAATCTACCCTGCTATTTCACTATTGTTTGTGCCAACTATAGCACACTATGACTACTCCAATATATCATAATCCTCACACTACTCCACACAACATTCTCACCTCTGTGTGAAATAACTTATCTAAAGATACTCATTAACAGTAATCATGAACATATTACATATTCTCCTTAGTCCTCATGAATAATTTGCAGACTCATTCCTCTTGCCTCGTCCATCTTCTTCTATAATTTGTTGTGTGATGTAGATTTCCTATATGGTTCACTATGAGAATGATATTATGACAATCATGAGTGAAGTTCATGGTCTTTTCTGTCAATTATTGGTTTTCCCCAAATTCTCCAGCTACAACTCCCAAGATAAGATCCACACCTCTCAATTTAGGAATATATGCATCCACAACCCCTGAATAATTGCATGTGAGACTTATTGGAAATTAATTTAAAATTTAAATTATATTTATATATTTATTATTATTATTATCATTATTATTTCAAATATTTAATTAAGTCTTTTAATAGTTGGCTAAAATATTTAGTGGCTCCTTTATTGGTGCATAAGTGAGGATTGACTACATGTTTTTGACCTAGTTTTATTCTATTTAATGTGTTCAGTTTATAGATACACCTATCTAAGAAAAGGAAAATACACAACATTAAAAGTCATCTCTCTTTATAATTATCTTTCTCTTCTAAATATTTTGAAGTTGTGTTCATTAATTCAAGATCTTTCGTTGCATACAAACGATCTATCGAGTTGACGTATCTTGGGAGAGGAGCATACTGAGAAATTCAATACTACTAGTGTAGTGGAAGCATTTTCTCTCTAAGGATATCGTTTTGTGTACTTCAACCTAGGTTATTCCTCAAAGTTTAATTCTAAAACCAAAATAATTGTTATGGAACGCAAGTTTCTTGTCATTGGCCTATCGGAGCTATGGCGAAGGAGTTGTGCCACTGAGGACATGAATTATGGGGTATTTGGTGTAGGGCATGGTCCTCTTCGTGCGTTCTAATTTTCCCAACCATTTTCAATGGAGGTTGAAAATTAAATAGAAAGGATAATAATAATAATAATAATAAAAAAAAAAAAAAAAAAAACTTGATGGAAGAGATGACAAGGATAATGAAATGCATGAATACTTTGAATCACCTCCATGAAATTATTCGATTTGTGCTCTTTAAGCCGTCTAACGATATATTTATTTGCTATATGTCAAAGTGTGGAATTGTTTCTAAGTTAATATTTCTAAAATCTTTGTTTCGGTTTTGTACGTGCCAAGAACACCATGATGACGAATATACTCAATGCCTCCATTGATGGCATCTTCTTCTATGTGTTTGACTTTCCTTTGCATCATACGGTTTCACTGGGAAACACTTCTTTTGCCATGATCAGTTTTCGAGGTTAAGTTTGGACTACAGTTACTTTCTCTTTCAATGGGCTTTTGCCATTGATGTTGTGGGATTACATATGGTTCCATCACAAAGAGGATATAATTTGTGGCTTACTTGACTTACTTGTCAGTTTTGACCGGTCTGAACATAATATTGCGGAATAAATGGTTTGACGTGTCGACAAATGCTTGAGTCATCGAGGGGAATGGGATTAAATCCAATCAATTAAGTTCTAATGATGGACACCCAACTCCAATTGAATGGGCGATCCCATGACTGGACTTCAATGGGTAACAACGAAATTGTTGTTGACTAAAAAGAACATCATTTAATTTGAGTAAATTTTGTATCTCATTCTTATGGCAAGGTGTACCCTAAATTGTTTTGGACTATAAGAAGGTTGAGGTATGTATATTATTTAAAATACCTCTTAATGAACTCAATGAGTGGTGGTGAATTGTTGTTGACTAAAGTACATCATTTAGTTTGAGTAAAATTTGTATATCATTCCTAGGTTGAGGTATACTCTAAATTGTGATTATAAGAAGATTGAGGTATGTGTATTATTTAAAATACCTATTAATAACCTAATAACAATTATTGTAAGGGTGTGAGTCACAAAGGATTCACCTAGTGAATGTGATAGTGGGGCCACTACTATGAGATATGGGCAAATCTCTATTGCCATTCATGAAACAAGATATTTGCGCACCACTAGTTAGAACTCAAATGAACACATTTATTATATTGTGTTGTGTTCTAAAACTTGGTTGAAGAAGAAGATGTAAAGTTTCCACAGTTTCTCAAGTAGAGTTTCGTAAGCATTAGGTGTAAGGGTCAAACCCAAAAGGTTCCTTATACTAAAAATATAATATATCATGCTCCATTTTTAAATCTTTTTTATGTTTTCAAATATTTTTACATTCTATTATTCTCTTTATTTAAATTTTAAATGGTGGAGGAATGTTGGAAATTAATTTAAAATTTAAATTATATTTATATGTTTATTATTATTATTATTATTATTATTGTTGTTGTTGTTATTTCAAATATTTGACTAAGTCTTTTAATAGTTGGTTAAGACATTTAATGGCTCGGATTAGTGAGAGAATTAACTACATGTTTTTTTAACTTAATTTTCTTCTTTTTACTTGTGTGTTATGTTTATAAACAAATAAATACACTTATATGAGAAATGGAAAATACACAACATTGAAAGTAATTTATCTTTAAAATTATTTTTCTCTTCTAAATATTTTAGAACTATGTTCATTGATTCGGGGATCTTTTGCTAAATACGAACGATCTATTGGATCAGCGTATCTTGTGAAAGGAGCGCATTGAGAAATTCAATACTACCATGTAGTGGGGCTTTTTTCTCTCTATAAGGATAATGTTTTGTGTGCTTCAACCCAATCTATTCAAAACTTAATTTATTCTTTATATTTATTTATTATTTTTCTTAATTAGTCTATTTAATTTGAAGTATCTATTCTTTTATTATGTTATTATATTATCTTTCTTGATAAGATCCACACCTCCCAATTCAGGAATATATGCTTCCACAACGCTTGAATAATCCTGCATGTGAGACTTAAGTCTTACATACCTTGTAATTGGATTGGATACTAACAAGATGTCCTCACTCAATTGTCTGAGGAAAAAGTCCCATATATTAATTGTTACTAATGATGCGGATTTCAGTAGCAAGCATCTCATAATCTTCCACATATTCATCCATAGTCCCCTCTTGGAGAAAACAATAACAATCAAATATAGCTCATTTGAGTTTCTCCCCATCCAATCCTGGTTCTGCCTGCCTCAATAATTTGAATCTGCTCCACATCATTCCCTCCATATAGATCTGTGCCACGTCCTTCCCTTCATGCAGATCTGTGCAAGCTGCAACATTTCCAGTTGCATCTCTTGCACAGCTAAACATGCATCAGCATGGGAAACCCATCTGACTAGGAAATTGCTATAGAAGGATATGGAAGCTCAATTTTCCATCGTGGAGTACATACAGACATATGGACCATGGTACTATAAATAATTATCAATATTGAGGAACTCTCTGTGAGGCAAGTTGCTATGTGAGTGGTTTGCGGAAATGATCCCTAGGCATATATCCCTAAGATCTTGAACTGAAACCCACCTTCACAAGGGATTGGGAATACAAGAAGAGAGGTACTTATCTCCAATTATAAGGGTATAAGTCCATTTTGAGCACCAATACTAGTTTGTATAGATTTATTCTAACAAACTGATAACTATAACAGAGCCGTTTAGTTATTCCTTATTCAAAAGGAAAGAAATCCAAGCAACCAAAAATATTACAATGTTATTCTAGGTATCACCCAACATCATTAAAGGAAAAATAAACATCTCAATGTAAAACAGCAAGAAACTTCTGATGTGCCACAGGTGTAAGCAAACTTAAGATGAATACCTACTACAATTAATAAGTAAACCAACATTGAAAATTAAAATTCGGCATAAAGAAAAGAATATGATTGATGAAACAAATAAGATTTCTCCACTAATGCAAATACTAAACAAAGAACAATTGCGAAAAGGAAATTTACCTTGAATTGGAAATGGGTAACTCAGAATTGAAGCTCGGCATCCCTCTTTCAGCTCCCTTGTCATCTTCAACACCAAAAACCCCGGTAGTTCTACTCCCCATACATCATTTTCACCACCACATCAACAATTCCCCAGTAGCTCAACAGAACATGAAAACCTAAAACCCCAAACCCAAAACAAAAACAACAATAGGAAATTCTCAGAACTAGTACAGAGCAAAATAAATCAGAAACGAATATAGAACACACAATCATAACAACCCCTCCCCCCAAAACAGAGATTGCTATTACGACCTTAGAAATCATTAAGCGAATACCAATCACGAGAACACGGTGACTACCGCAGAGAAAGAGAACAAAATCACAAATCGTAGCAGCACCAAAAACCCCTAAGCTGCAGCAGTAACTCGTGTGAGCAAAAAATCACCAACGTGTGTCAAAAAAGTTCAACCTTTAGCACATCCGTGTGTACCCACAAGCCGCCCAACCCACGGAAAATGAGAACACACCCCACCAAACGAAGTGCTCCAAAGTCAAAGCTACACACTTTGAGAAGAAAAAGACCAATTTGACACCACCCCAGATGCCCCAAATGAAAAATAAAATAAATGATAATTTAAAGCAACTAAACAAATAAAAACCAAATCTACGCTCAACTAGATCAAATTTCCAAAATCACCTAGTCCCAGTTGAACTAAAATCCACCATGAACATGACGCCCTTTTACTCTTGCAACATGAAACCATAGTAAAAGATGAAGCAAACCCACCTTGGAATTCTGATGATGATGCGCTATGATGGTAGAGTTCAAACTTTGTATGCAGTTATTGGATTTTAAGATTAAAGTAAGGAACCGAGGAAGAGAGAGAAAGAGTGGGAGAGAGAGAGACGGATGATTCCAATCTCTAGATGTCTTCTTCTGCTCAAATCTTCCACTTTCCGAGGATTAATGATTTTTTAATTACATTTTTACGGTGATGTTTTAGTGCTTTAACGTGTACATCTGTATTTTATTTGTGTTAATTAATATTTTTCTTTGACATTTTAATTTTGGAACAAATTTCAATTTTTTTATTTTGACAGTACAGTATTTTTTTTTTAATATGGGATGCATAATCAATTTTTTTCTTCTAGAGATTCTGGAGGATAGCTAAGCTTGATGCAATTGTGTTTTTTAGACAAGAAATCACGTGTCAGTATTTTTTTAAAATAAAAAATTTCTTTTAAACTGTAACTTTTTTTTATTTCTAATTCTTTATTTTGGGTTTTTATATTTTATGATTGAATTTTAATTTTTTTTTTACATTTTTATCTTTTATATTTTAACGAATTAAATTATTGAATGATGATGTGTTGATAAATATATTAAGTTGAAGATTTAATAGAATAATAAAAGAAATTAAATGTATGTAAAACTAAATCAAAATTATATAAAAAAGAACTTTAAAGACTAAAAAAAATTAAGAATTAAATATATATATATATATATATATTATTCTAATATACTAAAGTGAAAATCAACATTAATTTATATATACTTTATTTTTCAATTAAAATTATAATGAATTAAAATTTTAAAGTCAACAATATCTTAATCATTAATAATTAATCCTAAAACTACTAATAAAAAATGAGATAAAAATATTAATAATAGACAAATCACATTTTAAATTTCTTTGACAATAAATATTCATTTCAGTTTTAAAATACAATTAGTTATACCAATTAATATATCATTAATTTTTATTATTTTTAATAAGTTTATTAAATTTTGTCATTAATATTAATATTATTTTAATATTTTTATAACTGAAATCAAACATATTAATAAAATAATAAATAATAGAAATTTAAATTTTATCAAAATCATATATTTAAAAATATATTTTTATATAGAAATATAATATATTTTAAAAGAAAGGAGTAAAATTATCTTTCTAAACATAGAAAAGGAAATTTTACTTAGACAGATCATGAATAACAACTATGATATTTTATCGGAACTCTCGAACTAAGTATTTTTAGTTAAATAAAAAAAATATTATATAGTTGACTATTAGTTGTTTTTCTTCCTAATACATATTATTGGTGGTTATAATTTCCTATGTGTAAAGTTTACTTATTTATCTATTTTATATTAATTTTATTTTTAGTTAAATACTTATATTTTAATCCTGTCACAGTAAATTTTAATTCTTATCTAAATATTAGAAAATAAAATAAATTAAAAATAATATATAAAATAAAAAAGATCATTAAAAAACTTAAAAAAAAAATATCTTTGTTATATTTTATTTGTGTATGTGGTTTAATCTTTTTTTCTGATATATTTTTTTAAATTAGTCTTTAGTGTGTCAGAGAATCAGAGGTTGGAGATTAGCTGACACAGTAACATACTTTTTGTTCTGTGCCAAGCCAAAGAGCAATGATCCTCTGAGGTCAGCCATATAGTTCCTATTATGCACTTCAATCGCATTCGCTGTTATGCAATCGGTAACCCTATCTTTTTGTAAAATAAAAACTCAAGAAAATAAATAAAAACTCAAGAAAATAAATAAAAACTCAATAAGATAAAATTTCACGACAAGAGATTTTTTTTTTAACCGCCATATAAAAGGAAAAATTAGGGGAGAGAATTTTTTTTAATTTTTCATAAGATAAATAATTTTATCTTAAGAAAAACAATGTAATGTAAATTACAATTTTATTAAATTGTGTTTGACTTTTTAATTAATATAAATATTTATATGTAGTTTTTTAATTTTTACTTATTAATAAAAAAATTATAATTTTTTCAAAAATTCTATTGGTTTAAGCAATTTTTTTATTATCTATTTTATATTTTTATTTTCTATTGTTTCACTTAAAAATAATTAAAAAAAAGTGATAAAATATAGAAGAAAGAAGGTGTATCATCACATTTGACTTGATTGGATCTGACATGGGCACTGATCCTCTATGACTACACCCAAACAAAATGTTCTCTCCTGCCACACCGTTATCTAACGATAACGAGTTAAAAATTTCAATCCAACAAATTTTATTTTAATTTTACAAAATTTAAAAATGTAAAAAATATATTTTATAAAGATTAATATCAGTATTAAACATATCATATTATATATATATAACTATTTTTTAAATATAATATCATAATATAAATAATAATATAACAGATTATTTGTGTTGAAGTAATTCTTTAATTTTTTTTTACCTTTGCAATTTAAGATAATATATAAAAATATTTTTTAATATTTCTTTATAATTAGAAAAATATTGTAATCTAAAGTAAAAATAGTTATTATAATATATATATATATATATATATATATAATAAAATTATTTAAATAGTTAATATATTTCAAAAGTGAAAAGAAAAAAAATAATATTTAAAATAATAGTTTTTAAAATTTTAATTATATGAAAATATGACACGCAGAACCAGTTGTATATATAATTGTTTTAAATAATTTGTTTTTTATTTTTTATTTTTTTCTTATTATAATCAAAATAATCATTGTAATTTTAAATATAAAATAGAAAAAAGTATATATATATATATATATATATATATTACATTTTTTCGTAAATATATTTTTTAAATAACTATATTAAGTAAATTTTTTATTTTATTTTACCCATATTTTTCTCTAATTTTATACATGATATAATTATTCTAAATAATTGTTTGAACTCTTAACTTTTTTATTTTAATATAATTAAAATAATTTTAAAATTTTAAGGATCAAAGAGAAAAATAAATCACAGAAAACTTACCTTTTGATTGCAATACTTAAAAATAAATTTTTATTCTTTATGCACTGTTAAAATCCTTTTTAATCCTTAAACACTTTAATCTCTTTTACATCTCAGGGTCAAAATTGATCAAGACTAATGAGGATTAAAAGTAACATGTACATATATTTGATTAAAAGGCAAAGTTTGATCCATTACAAGGATGAAATCATGATGATCATCAATTTTAAGTTACCTATCATGGCTTCCAATGACTTGAAAAATGTTTATAATTGGAAATTCCTTGCTAACTAACCAAACATTTTTGTGAGACATGTTTTACTTTAATTGGTACAGAGTTCCCTTCTGTAATTATCTCATTCAAAGTATGTGCCCTGCATCAATCAATTGAAATTATCAAATCAAGTTTTGCTTGTTCGTGTGGTGGGTGAAAGAAAATAATCAAGACCAACTTCTGTTTTTAAAATCATTTTTTGTTATCTCAGACACACCAATGTTTACTCCTTAATTAACTAAAGAGCTAGGAAATTCACTACAAACTTTTCATTACAATTCATTTGGACGTAGCTAATATTATAATTCTCTAAATGTGCACATAACAGTAACACTTTTTATTTGTCACATTCTACCTGATTTTGGAGATTATATTATTTTTGTTTAAGTTATTTTTTATTTCCATGAAATTATATAATATTTTTAAAAATATTTATGAAATTTACCACGAGACATTCATTGATCCTAACTATTTTTACCTTTTAAAATGTATAATTTGTATACTTGAGAAACTTAATTAATAGAATTGGGACCATGCGACTACAATTCTCTATTGCGATACATAAAGTATCTAGTTGGCACCATTGAAATTTGATATCGAACCATTATGATACAAAAAAAGTCAACAGTTCAATCAAGTTTATACCATAGTGACAGTGGGGTATTTTCTAAAAATAGTTCATCGTTCAAGATAAATAAATAAATACTTTTTCAAATCCAATTCAATTTTATAAAATTAATTTACAAAATAAAATGTATACCTTTGCTTATATATATTGTAACAAATTTAGTTTACTCTATAATTATTCAACATGATATAACTTATTATACAAATAGAGATTAAAATAAAAACTATTTAATTTTATGATAATTTAATGACTTATCATTGATAATATAAAAGGTAAGTTTGATAAAGAAAAAAAAATAAAAAAAAATAAAAAAAATAAAAATAAAAATAAAAATAATAATAATAATAATAATAATAATAATAATAATAATAATAATAATAATAATAATAATAATAATAATAATAATAATAATAATAATAATAATAATAATAATAATAATAATAATAATAATAATAATAATAATAATAATAATAATAATAATAATAATAATAATAATAATAATAATAATAATAATAATAATAATAATAATAATAATAATAATAATAATAATAATAATAATAATAATAATAATAATAATAATAATAATAATAATAATAATAATAATAATAATAATAATAATAATAATAATAATAATAATAATAATAATAATAATAATAATAATAATAATAATAATAATAATAATAATAATAATAATAATAATAATAATAATAATAATAATAATAATAATAATAATAATAATAATAATAATAATAATAATAATAATAATAATAATAATAATAATAATAATAATAATAATAATAATAATAACTTGGATGCCAAGTTTTCTATGCTGTGTCGTTTTTTTAACTATGTAAATGGACAACTTATGAAACATTGCTGTACATATGTTGTCTGCACGCCACCGTATTCAAGGGTGCATACTTTCCTATTCTTTATTTTTATGTTGACAATGAGATAAGTTCTTCTCATCTTCATCAACAAAACATAATCCTAACCCTAACTATTTATCGTATTTTTTTTTCTTTTTATGCACAAATTAAACATTTTTTTTTATTTATAAACTCAAAGAATACTCATTAATTTTATGGAATTTACAAAGTTACCTATATTTAACATCTTACGTAAACATTTATTTTAACATCAAATTTACTACAAATAGTATTACCATGATCTCATATTGATGATATTTACAACATTTTTTAGTAGTAACTTTTTTCATTTGCTTTTGCCATAAATTTTATTAATAGTGTTGCATAACATTAAACCACTGCATTAAATGCGAAACTAGTAAAAAATTGTTCTTATCAATATTTAATATGTAAATGTAATAACATAGAAAAATAAAAAACTATGGAACGGAAAACAGTCACATCTAGTTGTGCACAATTTCCTCTCACGTGCTCGTGCTATTCAGCATTTCTACATCAAACAAATTTCAGTTCCTCACAAATTCGTAACCAATACCATCCATTATTTCTTTCTACTCAAAAAATAAATAATTTCATAAAATATATTATTTAAATTTTTATATTTTCCTTTCTACATAATATATAATATAATCGTGTGATCTTGATAATCAAACATGTGGCTAACGATAAATTGGGGAAACAGCATTCTGAATAGACACGTTATCCTTTTGCATTACTGTTTTTATTTTTTTTAGAAAATATAATATTAGGATTTTATGATTTCCTCTTCGGACAGGAAACATATGAGCTAAAAGTTTTGCTTTATAGAGTTGTATTATTTGGGTCGAGTTGATTTGAAATTCCTTAAGCATCGTTTTAATTTAATGTTCTAGATAACAAATATAATTAAGAGAATAGATTCACTGAAATAATTAATTAAAATTATTTAATTACTTATTTATTAGATGTCAAAATAAGTTAACTAATTATTATCATAAAGTAAATTGATTTTGTTTTAATCTATAATTAAAATTTTTAACCCAAATCAAATCCACCAGCTGGGTTAATTCACTAATTACAATCAAATTAACACCTGTAATATTTACTTATCAAGATATTAATGTAAAATTTTAAAATGAACATGATTTTTGTCTTTTATAATCTAGTTTTTGAAGCACTAATATAAAAGAAAAACTTAGTAATATGTCGTGCTAATACCACGAAAAAAAAAGATTTATCTGTCTATACCACATATTAAAAAAATCAGATATATTTTCCAAACTTATCCATTCATTCATTCTCCTCCATTCCACCATCTAAATGACTACAAGTAAGAATTCGTACTTAAATATACACGAACCCTTTGATTCCTATTCACATCGTCATTAATTCAACAATAGATTGATAAAGCAAGATCAAAACCAAACATGGAGTTTCATATATTCAAGATATATATATATATATATATATATATATATATATATATATATATATATATATATATATATTCATGCATCTGGAACAGTAACCAAAACCTATGACATGTCAAAACTCATCAAATCAAATTGAAGGTGTTGTTGTTGGTTGTATGGCTCCATCAGGGATCTCGAGAGATACTCAGTATACTCAGGTCTCATCATCAAGTTCGTGCCCTCAAGATCCATCCTCCATTCTTGAGTCTCATTGTCATGAGCTTTGTGCACTAGTCTCTCCAAGTGCCCATTTTCCTCTTCCATGGGCATGGAGGTTTCAGCAACATTGGAGTATTGCCCGGTGAGTTCTTGCACAAGTGCCCTAAAGTTGGAGGCACTAGTCTTTACCTTAACGGGGCTCGAAATATACGTGACTTTGATCTCCTTTTTGTCCCTTCTACTTGCCCGTTTGTTCTTCATGGTCAAACTGGGTTGCCAATGTGCTACAAGAAGACACGACACGAACAAGAACGTTCTTGTTAACAAAACGAAAAAGTGGGATGCGTTTATAGTGTCTCTATGGTTCACAACATAGTATGTGTGAGAGCATTAGTCGAATATAAAATGCACAAGTTGATCAACCCTTTTTATAGAGGTGGGTCATGGCGGGTGTTAGTCAAAGTGGGAGCTTCGAGGAAAGAGGTAAGGTTTGAAAATGTTGGATGATGATTTTGACTATTGAAATCATGGAAGAAATAGTGAGACATTGATTTTTATTATTATTTTTTTAAAATGCAAATTCCATCCCTTTTTTTTTCCTGTTAACTTCCATTCAAGAAACAATATATTTATCTTTTTATTTTATGAAATTTCAACTTTTTTTATCTCACTTCTAAAAATATAGAAAAATTCACCTATTCAATATTTATCAAATCTATACAAAAAAATTGATCTTTGTGCTTGACGGGATACTCTTTAATACTTTTTATTATATAAAAAATACCTTAGATCTATGATTCAATTATACGAATAACAAAAAATTTGCAAAACTAAAGACTAAACTAAAATTACAAAATTCTTAATATGATTAAACTAAATGTCTTTATTTAAAAAAGAAAAACTAAAATTAAGAATTGAGCAAAATGGAGAACCAAATCTTAATTTTTTTAGTGAAAGAAAAATTGGTGTTATGTTAGGCTTATATCTAAATTAAGACATGTTTTAAGGTTTAAAGAACATTAAGAATATACTTGTAGATTTTGTATTTACATTAAAAATAAGATTGAAATAGTATATTTTATAAGATATGAGTAAGATTTTTATAGAATGGATATTTATATTTTTGGAGACATTGATTGATCTAGAGGATGAGATCTTAGGATGCTTACGTGACCCGTAAGTGCGATGTGTATGCTGAGACTTGTGACACCACTTTGTTAACGTTTGTTTAATGATTGTTGTTCTTGTTCAATGAATGATTCTGGCACGTGCGCAGCCTTATATGACTGGGATTCCGATAAACTTCGGTGCATGGAAACGCTAGAAACAAACTGACGTTTGTCTTTTATTTTCTTTTGCTGAGATAAGATTTGCTTACAGGGTACTCTGTTCTTAAATTGCCACTGAATTTACTAAACATAGAAAAATATCAAATCTCGTTAACCTTCTTTCAAACAGTTTTCATTTACACTTTATTATAAATTATTTATAATATATTAAATTGATATATTATACAAGTTAAATTAGACAATTGACACTTAAGTAAATAACTTAATTTAAATTTGAAATATCAACTTTAAAAACTTACTAAACAAAGTTGAATATTATAAAACTATTGAATTTAATATTATAAACTTAAAATATGTGATTCAATTTATCAAATAAGCTTATTGTTGTAAAAAGAATAAAATAACTTTTAAATTATATTATATTGAAAGTTATAATTTTAAAATGAGACCGGTCATGATGAATATATGAATTTAAATTAAGTTTATTATAATATAATAACAATTTTAATTTAATATAAATGTTATTGGTAAAAATATTATATAATAATAAGAATGATTAGTAGAATATATAAAAAAATAATATAAATAAATATATAATCAAGTATAAAGTAATTAAAAACAAAAGTTATTGACGCTTGACAATAATTAGAGGAAAAGAATTACAATTAACTTGAAAATCATGAAAGGAAAAAAATTGCACTATATTTTTTATTACATCTAACTTCAAATTTTATACATTTAATCCACTTTTCACTCATTAAATTGTTTTTTGAAATGAAAATATTGTAATTTTTACATATTATTATATTTTCATGAATTGTTGTAGTGATGATAATAGTAAACAATGGTGACAATAAAGACAACGTTGGAAGGAGACAATGTAACTTGACAATGAAAGTTGTAAGAACAAAGACTGTATACCACTACTAATACAAAAAACAACTTTATCTATTTATGATTATGTTAATATGTTAAACTAATATATATATATATATATATATATATATATATATATGACAAAACAACATCATTTTATCATTTAAAAAAATCTGGGTGACTCCTTAACCCATCCATTTTTACCGATTTATTCGGTTTTTAATAAGTTTATCCAATTTTTAACCAGGTATATTATTTATCAATTTTTATGAAGCTCCAAACCGTTTTTTGGTTTAACTTGTTGAACCGAGTGTACCAGATTCGATTTTGATAATCATGATATAATCTTATGTTTATGGTTTGGTAGTTTGTCAAATTTTACTTTTAAAGTTACAAACTTAACTAAAGATTACACAAAATAAAGCTAAAAAAATGATATAGTTCGTAAATTTGATTATTAACAATACATTCAAGTTACATCTTTTAAAATGTTGTGATTAAATTTAAGATAATGTATAATAAATTATATATTCATGATATTTAGTGGATTGTTTCAATAATTTAATAATATTAATTAATATTATCATACAAAGAAGTCTAATATTAAAATAAGGAAAGAAATGTAATAATAACATGAATAGAAAAATAATAGATAAAAGATCAAAATGAATTATTTGAAAGAATATATATATATATATATATATATATATATATTAAAATTCTTTATTTATTATATTAGTAAAATTTTAAGTTTGAAACTAATGTTAATAATTTTTGTTTAGTTAATTTCAAGATAATAAGAAAAAAAAATGACTTATAAGCCGTATGAAAAAAATTCTCAAGTATGGTTATAAGGAAAGGAATCGACTCACCTATTTTGCCCAAGGATAACAGGTTATTCGACATGGAGACTCAGAAGTTGCGGATCTTGATTTAATCAAGCAGTTGAATACTAGAAATAAACTATAATTTTTACCCGGTAATTATATTGCAGCACAAAATTAGTTGAAGATTAAACAAGACGTTTTGAATAAGAACACTATGTTTAATTTTTTTTTTTCATCTATTTTATTTTTTGTATGTGTGATTTTTTTTTTTACCAAAATATTATTGTGGGATTCTAAATAATTTTAGAAAAAACTCATCAAATTTTTGATGGAAAATGTTTTCTATCTCTAAGTACCAACCACACTTACTGATAATATAATCAAGTAAACATTAGACATAAACATTGATAAATTGAGTTTAATTTCTTTATTATTTATATTAAAAATAATAATTTGTGTTATTAATAAGATAATTAACTCAATATTTCGTACGCGAGTATTTGTTTATTTACTGTTGAAACCGTGAGCATCATCGATCACATGATTGATGATGTATTTGCTTGTTGAACATTTGAAAAGAAAAAAATTGACTAGAAAGCCTGAAAGGTTCTAGATGGAACAATAAAAGTGAAAAGTTACACAAAGTTTGTTGAACACATTACTTGTACCATTCCTTCAACGTTATTTTTATGATTTTTGATGCACGTTGAAAGTCTACGAACATAATATCATATTATGAGCTCAGTCACAGTATAAAAATTTGTATGTTGAAAACAATTGGACCTAAAATTTTAAATTCATCAACAAAAATATTTATATTCAATAGGATTATAATTATCTTATTCAAAGTAATATATATGTTAAATGTTTTTTTTATAAATAGTCATTTATTTATTTATTGTTGGACTAACTTATTTTGTCTTGTTGTTTTATTCACATATGCATGATAAAATAAAATCGTTTGAATTATAATGAATATGAAATCGATATATTCTCGTAGATGAAATATTAATATTCAAAGTTAATAGGTTAAAAATATAATTTCGCTTTACTTATACTCTTAATCTTCAATGTGAGACTATGAGTCTCGTACTATTTAAGAATCGAGATCAATCAATGACTGATTTTCTTTGGAATCGAGGGGATCGTGATCCCTCTAAAGTTTTGTAACTTCTATATAAATTATGATTTTGACCTTCAAACTTAATGATTATTTAATATATTTATTTATATATTTACAATTTTATCCTCTCAACTACCTTTGTAATTCTCATATAATTTATGATTTTAGCCCAAAAAACTTAATGATCATTTATTTACTTATATATTTACAATTTTATTATCTCACTTTTTTATTTTCTTCAATCTTTTATATTTATTTATTAATTATTAATAATATATTATTTATCTCCTCCTAAAATCAATTATAAAGGTCTACACTACAAGAAAATCACATATTTTCGATAAATATTTGCCGACAGATTTGTAACCAGTCGGAAAATGAGTAATTACCGACGGATATCAAACATTTGTGGAATTTGGTATGGTAAAATAATAATTAGTTACCGATGGATATATCCGTCGGTAAATTCATCGACAAATTAATAATTAGTTACCGACGGATATATCCGTCGGTAAAATTATATAATAATTATTTAATATATTCTAATAAATTAATTATCACCTAATTAAAAAATTAAATATTTTTAATTTAATAATTTAATTTAATCATAATCAAATTAAATTATAATAATTTATTAAATTAAATAATTTTAAAAAATAAATATTTAATTATATATAAATATATCAAACTATATATATAAATATATTTGTATTTATATATTTATATAGATATACATTTATTTGTATATAAATATAATTTATTTATAAATTATTATTAAAAAATTCTAATAGTTTAGTGGTTGGAGTATCAGCTCCAACTTTAAGGTACTTGAGTTTAAATCCTACCCAATAATAAATTTATATTGTTGATGGATTCATGTTTGTTGGTAATTTTGTGAGGATTTTTGACCGTCGGTATTTTCAGTATTTTTTGTAGTACTAATATAGATGACAATTTATATACACATTACTCTCTCAACCCATTGATGCATTTAAAGATGAAACTATGATTGATTAGAATTTTGAAACAGACAATACATTAGACATAATAATTAATTTTAAGAATGTTATTACAAAGGATATGAAGTTCTAACACTCTCATTTTTAAATGGAAAAATAATTATGAGAAAAATTGTAACAAATTAGT